TGTTCACTACACTGTAGCAGTGAAACAGTAGCAGAATCACTGTTCGCGCCACTGTTCGGCACTATTCACCGTACTATTTTACACTATAGCGGCTGTTCGCGCACTATTCACCGCTATAGTGACGGCGAAATTTTAGGTTATAACTTGTTGAGTTGGGCATAAAAGATTATTTTTTCATGTTGAGCTTTATTATACATCTACAGTCATACAATTGTCTTATTTGCTTTGATTTGGTGGTTGTATGGCTTAATTTACTCATGTTAAGTAGTCAGGCACATGAATTTGTATTGTGAGGTATTGAGAAAGGGTTCTGATCATGCATATATATACTTTGATTCATGCAACAGTTTTATATAAATGTAGTTGACATGTATCATGTCTTTATATGAGGATTGAGATGTTGATATCTTATTTGATCTCCTTTAACTGTAAAGCATGCCTAAATTCCGTATGAACTGTATTTTGAGCTTTCATACTTATTTGATGATATTATGCTTTATTCCATATATTATTTATGCTTTTACCTGATTATTGGAATATTAGTGAGTGTCGACGTCGCCCTCGCTACTACTTCATTGATGCTAGACTTGATACTTAATGAGTATCATGATTTTGTACTTATTTTATACTTTTACACATTTTTGTGTAGGTTGTAGGGATGGTATTAGTGGTGTTCATCAAGCAGAGTAGGAAATTTAGTGGAGGCTTCGTGGGGAGCTACTTTACTTGCCCCCCTCCCCCCTCCCCATTTTTCTCCTTCAAATTCATATTCTTAGTGCACAAAATAATGGGTGATCAAGATCTAACATCAAAATCAAGAAGAAACTATTCCCCAAAGTATGGTGAAATTCTGCCCAAAAGTCGCCTCTAGCCGAGCTCCAAATCTCAAAATAATGAAAAATGAGCTAAACTCTCGAATTATAACACTGCCCAGCGATTTTCGCATTTGCGGACAAATCTGTCGCTTCTGCGACAATGCTTTTGAGGTCCAAACCTCGCAATAGCGAGTTCACTTAAACTTCCTCCCCCTCTCACCTGGGAGCTTAACTCAATTTCTGCGATCTCGCAGGTGCGACAAACCTCTGCTTCTGCGCAACTCTCCAAGTTTGTCTGCCTTTGCCTCTACGAAATAAATCCTCCGCATTTGCGGACTTGCAGATGTGCCCAATCTTTGCATATTCGGATCTGTTATCACTTGGCCGCTTCTACGGACTCCTACCTATGCATATTACCTTGCAGGTGCAACACGCCAGCACCAGAACTGCCAACCAACATCAAATTGATCTGAAACCCATCACAAACACTCTCGAGCCTCCTGAGACCTCGTCCAATCATACCAACAAGTCTTAATACTTCCCCAACCCTATCCAAAGGCTCAAACATACTGAAATTAACATCAACACCATGAATCGCCGATCAATATCAATCTCTTAAGTTAATTCGTGTTGCAAAAAAAAAAAAAAAAAGGTTCTGGTTTTGCTTTGAATCTGAAAAAGGGTGGTGGTGTCCTAAAACCAACCTTTAAAATCAAAGACTGCGAAGTTTCATTCCACCATGCATCCCATTCTGTTTGTTTTATTCGTACATAGTGCGATTCTGCAGCTTGAAACAAAAGATACTAACAACAATAATTTTTCTCATTTACTATCTCGATATATATACACTAGACTGCACAATAATGAAACCCACATAATCTTTCTCGTGATTCATTCTCATAATGCCATCCTTTTTAGTATTATTTTCTCTTCGTTGTGTTATTTGTTTATATACATGTAGTATGGAATCTGGGCTAGAATGCATTCTTATTCTTATTAATTTTTCTGCATATATATTAGTCGATTTTAGAAGACAACTTCTAAACAAACATTTCTAGTGCGCTGAGTTAGTTCATCTTCTCTTTTTGAAGGGTGTAATTTTTTTTTAAGAGTTTAATACAACATCAAATATCAACCTTGTTTTGTCATTTGTTAAACAAAATATATGCACATTATGAAGGCTTGGTTCTCTTAGGGGTGGACATAGTTTGGTCAAAACTGAAATCCAAACCGAAATCTATTTTTTTTGGATTTTTGGTTTGGATTATTGGATTACGGATTGGATTCCGGATTTAATTTTTTAAAATTTTGAATTTCGGATTGGATGTTGGATTTGCTACTTCGAATTTTCGGATAGCCGAAAATCCAAAATTTGTATACATTATATTTTAATCCATTATCCATATGTAAATAATAATAATAATAATAATAAGTTCAATACCCTACCAATTTGAAATTATCTCATATATTCAATATTAATTACTAAGTTACTGTCATAATACTTTCTATTTGGACATGATTTTACTATTGCTAATTCTTATCGGCCTTATTAATGTCTCTGTTGTATTTTCTTGATGATGATTTCATTACTTGAATACTTTATTTGAATGATTGTGGTGAGAATGGAGAACGTTTTAGGCAATTTAACATATTTCGTTTGGATGTTCATTTTTATAAGAAGAAGAAACATCTCAACTTAGTGGCGCAAAATAAAAAATTCGAAATATCAAAACCGATTAATTCGAAACTGAACTTAATAAAGCTGATCCAATCTGAGCTTATTTGGATTGTCATTTCTTCAATCTGAAAATCAAAAATCCAAACCGAAATTTTTATATCCAATCTGAATTGCCCGAACGCCCACCCCTAGGTTCTCTGTTTCATTCAGTTTGGATTTCCGTTATCAGGACCAGAAGTTCTTACTTTTTGCAAACTTAAAAGACTAATAACCTGTTTGGCAAGCTTCTCAAGAGGCCAAATGTGCTTTTTTTCTCAAAATTATTTTTTCCCTCTAACTTGAGGTGTTTGACCAAGTTCTTTTTTGGGAAAAAAGTAATTTTGGGAAGAAGCAGAAGCAATTTCTGAGAAGTAGAAAAAAATAGCTTCTTCCCAAAAGCACAAGCAGAAGCAGTTTTGACTTTTATTCTTACCAAAAATACCCTTAACTTTATAGTATATACCAAAATAACCGTTAAACATAATACTTAGGATATTAATGTATAAATATTTCTTATTATTTTTAGGATAACTTTCTAATATATAGTGACTTTAGAGGTGAATACTTTTGTATTTGTTGAATGGTTTTTAATATATTTAACTTATATTAAAAGAACGAAAAAGGGCCTAAAATGCCCCTTTACTATATGAAATATGACAAGCTAGCCCTCCGTTAAAAGTTGGTCTCTATTATGCCCTTGCCGTCAACAAATGGGCTTGTATATGCCCTCCATCACTAACGGGAGACTCATAAAGTCACGTGGAATATATGTGAGGGCAAGTTAGACCTAGTTCGAATTGTACATGGGCATATATGATTCAGTTATAATAGTCATTTCTCAAACACTTCACAACTTCTTCAGTTTACTTAGACACCTATTTGACAACACCAAACTACTTATCACAATAAATAAACTAAGTCATAGACACAAACATTCAAATGAACGGCAATGACTTCATTAGATCCTAGTAGCTCAAAGGGGTCGAATCATAACAAAAGACAACAAAAGACAATGTCAGAATGTTCTAGTAGCTCAAAAGGGTCGAACATAGACACAACAAATGAACGACAATGACTTCATTAAATCCTTGTACAAAAACATAATGCTTCATTACATAATAAAAGACAACAATTAAGCCACAATAACACTAACATTACATATCATTTTCCACTGATCCAAAGAACATAACAAAACATCCTAATATCACACACATGAAAATCCACATCTTCTTCCGAAATTTAGCATCAAGCACAACTGAGTACTCTAAATCAGTCACTTTCTTCATCAGAATATTTCTTTCCAATTCCAAGGTTTCTATTCCTCCATGATCGACGAGCATCATAACATTCTCAAGATCAAATTTTCCTTTGGAGAACATTTCTTTCACGGATTAGAGCTTCCTTTTCCTTCTTTAAACTGCATATGAGATTCCAAGAGGAATATTTTTCATCCTAAAAATAAAAAATAAAAAAAATAAATTTACAAGCAAATCGGAATAATTAAAAGAATCCATCAAAAATTTACTTACCTCATACTTCAGGCACTTGAAAAACCTTCCCCCGGCATTTAAAGAAGTCCATGCCACGGAATAATTGGCAGCAAGTCCGCAATGATACCTCATATTCGACCCCTTTGAGCTAGTAGAACATTTCGACATTGTCTTTTGTTATGATTCGACCCCTTTGAGCTACTAGGATTTAATGAAGTCATTGCCGTTCATTTGAATGTTTGTGTCTATGACTTAGTTTATTTGATGTGATAATTAATTTGGTGTTGTCAAATAGGTGTCTAAGTAAACTGATATGGAGTTGTGAAGTGTTTGAGAAATGACTATTATAACTGACTCATATATGCCCTGTACAATTCGAACTAGGTCTAACTTGCCCTCACATATATTTCACGTGGCTTAATGAGTCTCCCGTTAGTGATGAAGGGCATATATGAGCCCATTTGTTGACGGCAAGGGTAGAATAGAGACCAACTTTTAACGAAGGGCTAACCTGTCCTATTTCATATAGTAAATGGGCATTTTAGGCCCTTTTCCGTTAAAAGAATTAAGTACTTTTAAATTTTATTTTCATATTTTACTTAAATAAAATAAAAAGATTTAATTATTGCCTGTAATAATAAATTTTTAAGATTATTTATTTACTTATAATATTAACTATTAAGTAAATCTATTTTAGTCCTTATTCGTAATTTGATACTTAAAAGTAAGTTTTAAAAAACTTGGCCAAACATAAATTATTGCTCAAAAGTGCTTTTCTAGGTGAATAACCAAACACAAACTGCTTATCTCCAAAAGTCTATTTTCAAAAGCACTTTTGAAAAAAACACTTCTCGCCAAACAAGGTATAAGTATGCTAAGGGTAATATTAGAGTGAGAAATATAAAACTACTCCCAAACTTAAGGGATCATTTGCGGTAAAAACTCGAATAGTACAATTATTGGGCCAAGCCCTTTTTCTTATCCCGTTCAATACAACACCAAATCTCAAAGCCCTAAGTTAGTGTGTCTTACACGACACTACGCTGTTTCGCTGGGGGGTTTTGCCATCTTCGCTAGGGTTTCAGGTTCGCATCTTCTTCCCAATTTCTCCAGCTAAACATCAGTTATATGCTCATCTTATTTTGTAATTATTGTGAATCTCGCTGAATTGGGGAAAAGTTCTATTTTTTACATGGGCTTTAAGGGTCCTACAGTAGATTTTTAGCTTCGTTGTCACGTATTTTCTTACCTTTAGTTTTTGTTTTTGAGTTTGTTTGGCTGAAATTGGCGCACTGATTTACTGAGCTGTTGATGGATATAGGGTTTCGTTAGATTTGAGCTTTTAAAATTTCTTTATAGCTGTCGTCACTTTTTTCTCTTAAATTTTCAGTGAATTTGAAAAGATTCTCTCTTACTTTTGCTGTTATGGAATTTAGGGCGATAATTTGTGTTTATTGCTATTCGGGTTAGCTTGAACAATTGTAAAAGAGTTGCTTGATTACATCCCTTTTTTTAATTGTTAGATTTTTTTCCAAAACTTGCCCAAAAAAAGCCCTTTTTCAAACTTTCAGTGAATTGAAGAAAGTCCATTTTCCTTGAAAATTGTCCTCGTTATAGTAATGATATAATGTTACATTGACTTAAAATCTTCAATTATTTCTATATCTTGTCCTTTTTCCCTAGTAAAGTTGTTCTCTGAAGGCATTTTTTGCACGTGACACTGATATTTTGTATTTTTAAGTGGAAGGAATTACTGATGTTTGAGGATATTATGGTGTTACCAAGAAAATGATGTTTTGTAAGTGGTATTGAATTACTTAGACAGTTTTACAAATGTTAAGAGTTTGCTGTACTTTTTTGTTCTTTCTCAATAGGTGTGTAAAGAAGATGTCGAGAGTGTATGTTGGGAATCTGGACCCTAGGGTCAGTGAAAGGGAGCTTGAAGATGAATTCCGTATCTTTGGAGTTATAAGAAGGTAAAGGAAGTTCCAAGATTTACATCTCTTCGTGATTGGTATGCATGGTTGTAAACTGAATCTGTGACCTCATTACTTTCCTCCATGCTCACCTAAACCAGCTTAACTTTTTGAGAGTCATTAACTGCCCGTCACAGAAGTGAAATTTATTTCTGAGCCGCACACCTTAGACCATTGACTTGGCAACTAAAGCCCATTATACTGCTTTCTTTTTCTCCATTATAAGGTGATTATTATTATTTAGAATCCTTCTGTTTTTTTAACAGTAAGGTGGAACACATGCATAACTTATAATAATGTTTACATTTTTTTGCTTATTTGTTTTGTAACATAAATTCTGAATTTGTTATATTCTCACGTGCCTTTCGTTCCTAGGAATTTACAAGAATATAAAAATATTCATGTCTAGCTTCTGGACTTGCTGAGAATCTTTGGAGGAGATATCAAGTGCATACTTTTCTAGTTTTGGAATGAAAACTAAAATTTATTCTAGTCTTGGTTGGGGGTTAATGGTTTTTGATTAGCATGTTGGTTGGAAAGAAAGACAAGCTGAATTCCTTCTGTGCTGTTAGTCTTTGCATAAAGACATGTCACAGATATTGTGCTTGAGCACATTGTGTTGAACGCATCGGAAAAGAGAAAGGAACTCTTCTGGAGTGACCCATTGAAAAAGAAAAAAAATTGTAAGCAACCAGAAGAAGATGAATGTATATTGACATTATAAATTAATTGGCAAGGTGGAAATTCTTAAAGATAGTTTATAATTCTATACCTTTTTTACATATGGATCAATTTCATGCAAGTTAAAGTTGTAAATTTTGTCTTTAGTTTGTTGCCATCAGAAAAATTGTCTGTGACTGTACTTTTCTATAAAGTAGAACACCTATCATGAGGATGGTTATACAAGTCTAGCAGATACTTGTGTAAAATCCACATAACTTCCATCTTGGAGTAAAATTGCTTTTCTTGTATATTTTTCCTAGCATACATGATGAAGTCATAAAAGAGCTTGTGTTGAAAGAAGTCTCTTTGTTATTAAGTTTTCTCTAATTGTTAGTTAGAGTGTCTAGCCTGGCTAGGTGGAGCCATTTGCTCATAAGTTTTTTTCTCTTAAGAGCATCAGTTGTAGCTCACCATGATATTGAACTGCTTTATTGTCCATGATTCCTAACTCACAAATTCGTTCACAGTGTTTGGGTTGCAAGACGTCCCCCTGGCTATGCTTTTATTGACTTTGATGACCTACGAGATGCACAAGATGCAATCAGAGAGCTGGATGGTATGATTATTTGACTGTTTGAACCAACTTATGCAATTATGAAGCTTTTTGAACGACTTTCTTCTGTCTTTGTGATGGCCATGCTATATTTGGCCTTGCACTGAGTTAAAACCTTAATCTAGTCAGTCTATACGTTGGTGTTTGTCCATTTTGTTCCTGTACCTTAGCACCTCTTAACACCAGTGATATTTTTAGCCACCGAAGGTATTTTATCCCTGATTCTGTGAACTAGGTAAGACTGGATGGAGGGTGGAGCTTTCACATAATTCTCGAGAAGGTCGTGGGGGCCGTGGAGGCGGTCGTGGTCGCTCTGGAGGCTCTGATTTGAAGTGCTACGAGTGTGGCGAGCCTGGTCATTTTGCTCGTGAGTGCAGATCGCGTGGAGCTCCTGGAAGACATAGAAGTCGGAGCCCTCCTAGATATCGAAGGAGCCCAAGTTATGGTCGTAGGTGAGAAACTGAAGGATGATATCATTGACTAAGAATCTTTTAACAATTTAAGTCTTCTGATAATCTTCACACGAAAACTGCTGGTGTTCTCTCCATTTCTTCTGATTTCCACCGTGAAGCAGGAGTTATAGTCCTCGTGGGCATTCCCCCAGGCGCCGAAGCGTGTCGCTGCGCGGTCGCAGCTATAGCCGATCTCCATATCGCGGGCGAGATGAAGTTCCATATGCTAATGGGTAAAATCTCTATTTACAAATTTTGCGGCTTGCTGGCACTTCTCTTTTATAGTATATACCTGGTTAATGTTGGATATGCCGCAACTTATTTTCATGATTGGTCTCAGATACTACAATATGTTTGTTTGCACTGATTTATATGCAGAAATGGACTCAGAGAGCGTCGCAGAAGCCGAAGCTGAATGTGGAAGATGATTGCCTGACTTGTCCAGGGGTTTTCGATTAGTGTGTTACTGTCCTTGACTTAATCAAAGCTGTGTAAGTGGGGCCACGCCCTCTGGTTTAACTGGTGGTTTTGGTTTAATTTCAGTACTTGCTATTGGCCTGATAAGTGTTGTTTTTTGTTTTTTCTGATGTTACCCTTTTTAAGAACCTATATCATAGGAGCTTATATTTTGGATTTTATGGTAGCTGTTATTTTTAAGAAGAAATTATCACAAAGAATGTTGCTAAAGAGTTATGTTTTTGTTTTCTTGTGCCAAGGTGTCTTCCTGGTACTGCTTCATTGGTTTTCTGCTTCTACACTCTGGTTGCTTCGTTGGTTTTCTGCTTCTACACTCTGGTTTCGTTCTCCAGTGCCCTGCTGTGGGATCTTCAATTTCGAAGATTGTGGATCCCAGCTGGCTAAATTGCTAGATGCTTCTGTTTGTTGAATCCCTGCGGGTATGATGCACCGCACCTCAAATTATTGTGGTATTTCTTTATGTTCATTTTAAGGATGAGGAATGGCGTGGCACACATTGGCAGGTACCTAATCTGTTCCAGGGAGGTTGGGATTTGTTGTTCTCCTTAAACCAACTGTGGATGGTACTCCATTTGGGTTCATAGGGCAGTGTCCGAGTCTATATAGTCATGAGTATTTTGCTCCCCCCCCCCCC